AATTTTTTTCTATCAAAAATTTTACTCGTCTAATTAAACGGTCGAAGGCTTGTTGCGCGTCTTACACACCACCTTTAATGTGCGCTGATTGATAAGCTTATCTTCGATTCTATTTTTACATCTTTTTTCAGCATTATTGTTCGATATCTTACGAAATTCTATTGTATTCTCATTTGGCATGTGAAGAAATAACCATATCTACTCTCTATAATTGCTATCTGTTAGATACTATTTAATGGGATAAACTCACTATAATGTCAAGCGTGGACACTTTGCAGTTGCCAAATTCGGATTCCCTTCCCGTCGAAGAAGCTAATGAAAAGCTTGGTTCAGCTGGATTCAATAATGTGGCCACGCGTCTGAGTGAGAAAGTGCACAAAACTTTTGATTCAGATACAGACAGTGAATCCTCAACCGATGATGAAGACCGAGATACTAGTGATGATGACCGGCGGATGGCAAACAATCCGGTTTTGAAGGAGCGCTTACGACAATTGGACAAGTATGCGTCGAATATGCGCTATGCACAGTTATCACCTGGTCGACTTCCTGATGCTGGCCTTCCTAGTCTTTTTAGCGGCAGTTCTGCTGTAGGGAAAAGCCCTTATCTCGTTGGGGATATTCACCCAAGTTCTGGTGCTATTCTTGGATGTGGAAAGAATAGTGGGCCATCCGACGTCGCCGAAAGTAATTCTACACCTTCAGAATGCCGTTCTCAACAACACTCAATAATGGAATCTCCAATTCCTTGTTCTGAACCGACTTCCAGATATACTTTTTCTCCTCCATATGGATCTCTTATGAATGTTGGGGTTAATGTTAGCAATCCTGGATGTGAAGCCACACTGCCACAGAATCGAACAGCTCATGGACTTATTCATACCGCGCCTAACCCCTTGGTTGGAATAAGTAAAAATACCCTTACTCACGCAAGTGCTTCATTAGGATACCGATCTGCTTCAATAAATGATAACCCCGACAGCACATCTTTGAGCTTCAGAAAAATTGGTAGCATTGAATCTCGAGAAGATGATTCCACTAATGAGGATATAGACGTAGAAGATGACGAAGCCGATCCTATGGATATGGAAATAGATGGTAAAGAATACACATGCGAACTTTGCAACGCAATTTATACTAATAGATCTTCACTCAGAAGTCACATGAAAAAGCATGCAGGGCAGATTGTTAAACGTCATCAATGTGACAAGTGTCCGTATTCTACACAATATGGTAAAAATCTACTCAAACATATGGAATCAATGCATACGGACAGTGGAGAACGGCATTATCGATGTGAGATTTGTAGCAAGTTGTTTTTCACCAGTGAGGAACTTCAAGATCACGAGAGGTTGCATACACCTAGCAACACTTATCGTTGCGATGAATGTGGTCGAGCATTCAAAACCAAACTTCGTCTTAAGTACCACTCTGATGTACATAATCCGCGAAAACCATATATATGTGATGTAGATGGTTGTGACAGGGCATTCAGAACTCCGAAATATCTTAAAAACCATCGTGACGAATTTCATGGAATGCAACCTAAACAATATAATTGTCCAGTTGATGGCTGCTCCTTAGTCTTCCATCGAAAAACTCATTTGAAACGCCACATTGATACTCATGAAGGTTAGCACAGTTACTTTTCTATAGCTGGCTAAATGTAATCGGCATGTTTATATATATTGTTTAATTTGATTTCATCCTATTTACTCTAAATCTTCTTTATCCTGAACTTTATTACCACTATT